ACACACACACACACACACACACACACACACACACACACACAATGAAAGGTAATCTGAAAGAGGAAATCAATAATAAGATGGGAGGACCAAAAGAATCCTTTTGCAGAAGTGGGATTTGCACTGAGTGTTGAAAGAAGCCAAGGAAACAAAGAGGCATAGGTGAAGGTGTGGAATATTCCAGGTATAAAGGACACATGGCAATTCAAAGGCATAGAGATGGGATGTGGAGTATCCTGTTCAGGAAACGAGAGGCAGGCCAAGGTAACTGGATGGCACAATGCATGGAGAGGAGTAAAGTCTGAGAAGAATGGAAAGGTAGGAAAAGGCCAAGTTATAAAGGGTTTTAAATGCTAAACATGGAACTTTGAACCTGGAGGTAATTTGGAGCCACTGGAGCTCATTGGGCACAGAATTGACACGGTCAGACCTTCCATTAAGAGGGCTGTTGCAATAGTATAGGCAAAAAGTAATGAGGGCTTGCACCACACCAAGTGTGGATGGCTCTCTCAAAGAGCTTAGCTAAGAAGGGGAAGAGTGATATATAGGATGATAGCTACAGGAGATGGTAGGATCAAATGAAGAATTTTTTTAAGGATGAGGAGACCTGGAGCCAGTAGATAGAAAGATGTTGAAAATAAGAGAAAGTGGGCATGATAGTGGAGAAAATCTGGGACAGAATCGGATCAAGGGTATCTGTAGAGGTATTGGCCTTGACAGAGAGAACAGCTACCTCCCTATCTGAGAATGGAGTGAAGGAGGAGGGAGTGAGGAAATATGTCAGAATGACATGAGATGAGGAGGAAAGGGGATAAAAGGGAACTTTAGGCAAATTGTCTTGATTTTTTTCAATATGGTATGAGGCAAGATCCTCAGATGAGGGGAAGATCGGAGGGGGACGCTATGGGAGATTTGAGGAGAGATGACAAGATTTGGATCAGCCACTCCCAGATAACAAGAGTCAACATCTGTATTTTATAAATTAAGTTTATTTATAAATAAATTTTATATATAAAGTTCATTTATATATTTTATATATGTGTGGGTATATATTATATATTTATTTATACATGAAGTTTATTTATAAACTGCAATTGACAGTTGTTGTGACTTCTCCAAGTTCATACAACTAAAAATGACAATGGAGGGATTCAAGCCTAGGTCCTCTGACACCAACCCACATTCCACTGTGCCACAAGCAGACATAAATGAGCATTTGTCAAGGGATGAGGAAAAGCACCTTTCTTGGCCTACATCCCCTTTTAGAAAAGTTTTTCATTTTTACTTGCATGTAGATCTGATGGTTTTCTGTTAACTAAACATATGTTTATTCCCATTCCTGTCAGGGATTTTCTTTTTTTTTGGCCTTTGATCACATGCACCCCAAATAACTCCTTTGGGGCTTTCTTGTAATTGGACAAACTCTAGAAAGTGATTTCAAAAGCATCTCTTTCATATCTTGTTCTCTGTGTCAGATCTTTTTACATGGGGACACTCAAATTCCAGTGTCACTGTCTTCTCCATTTTATGACCTTGGCCTCTACAGTAATCTCTTTGCTGTTGACTTTGTTTGCACTGCCCTCTGATGTGGTCCTCAAAGTTTACAGACCATCGTCCTCAAAAACATTGAAGAGCACTCTTCAGAACAATGGGAGTACTAGCAGTCTTCTAGGAATTCTTTTTTTAAAAAATTTATTAAATTATTTTATTTTAAAAATTAAATCATTAATTATTATATTAAAACTATTCTAAATTATAAAATGTTATTATTATATTATAAAATTATTAATTAAATTACTTTTTATTTTAATATTAATTTATTTTATTTTCAATTCATGGAACAAAACAAGCATTTCTATAACATGGTACCAAAAAAATTCTTCTAGGAATTTTGAGATGAGATCCTGCCCTCAAGGAGCTCCTCATCTAAGTATGTCTTCTTTCTGAGGCCAGTGCCTCAGAGGGGGAGGGGAGAAGGAGTCTTTCCAAAGGCACAGGGACAAGAGAATATGATGTGAGAGGAAAAATTTGGATTGTTCATTATCATCATTATTATTATCACACTCTGTTCACTCTTTGGCCACATCATCAGCAAAGGTGTAGTGCAGGGGTGGGGAACCTGCAGCCTCGAGGCCACATGTGGCCTTCTAGGCCCTTGGGTGCAGCCTTTTGACTGGGTCCAAGTTTTACGGAACACATCTTTTTATTGAGAGGATTTGTTCTGTGAAGTTTGGACTCGGTCAGAATGCTGCACTTGAGGACCCTAGAGGGCCACATGTGGCCTCAAGGCCACAGGTTCCCCACCCCAGGTGCAGTGTATCGTGTTATGTGCTAGAAATAAAATTGCAAAAGTCCCTTGCCCTCAAGGAGCTTCTTCGATCTATAGGGACAGACATCCTGTGCATGTACAAGCATATATAAAATAAATAAAAGGTAATTGGAAGGGCAGGGGGAGGGGTGGCCCTAGTATCTAGAGGAGGATTAGGAAAGGCTTCTAGTAGGAGTGGGCATTTGAACTGAGCTTTAAAGGAAGCCAGGGAGTCTGGGACATACAGGTAAAGAAAGGAGTGCATTGCAAACGTGGTGGGGAGAGGGGAGAGGGAAGAAGGAGTCTTTCCAAAGGCACAGGGACAAGAGAATGTGATGTGAGAGGAACAGTAAGAAGTCCAGTTGGGTTGAACTGTAGAATATATGAAGGAGGATAATATATGATAAATATGGAGAGGTAGACTAGAGCAAGGTTGTGGAAGGCTTTTATAAAAGCCAGAGGAGTTTGTGTTTTATCCTGGAGGCAAGAGGGTTCCATGAGCGCTCTTTGAGCACAAGAGTGACTGTCACACCTGGGCTTTAGGCAAGAAAAAGGGTCTTGTTAAAAGCGTAGAAGGATCGTATGGACTCGTGAACTGGAGGCAGAAAATTGGGAAGGTGATCTTCACCAACAGCAAATTTGAACAATAACCTTGGATTAGCTTTGTGGTCCTTAGGTCCAGGTCATGTTAATGAGCTTTGTTAGGGGAATTGCAATAGGATTCAGAAATAAAGCATGGAGTGAATCTTCCCCAAGAAGCATAAGGGAATATAATTCTTCATTGAGATGCATGAAGGCTCTTCTACTTTGGGAGAGTCTGTTTTTCAGATAGAGTATGATATTGGGATTCATACTTGGGGAAATTAATACAGTTTTAATATACTTTTGTATTATTAGAGAACCTTAATATTAATGAGGAGAGGTAGCATGGACAGAGACTTGACCTTAGCATCAGGAAGTCTTGGGTTCCAGCTCTGCCTCTGGCAGGTACTGACTGTTACCTAGAGCCACTTAACCTGTCAGTGAGCCAGAGAACTCTCTAGACAGCCAGTCAGTGTATAAACATTTATTAAGTCTTCTTGCCAATCACTGCACTAAGCATTGGGGATACAAAAAGAGGCAGAAGACAGTCCCTGCCCTCAAAGAACTCACAATCTAATAGGGAAAACAGCAAACAGATATGCACAAGCAAGCTATATACAAGATAAATAAGAAATAATTAAAAGAGGAAAGGCACTGGAATGAAGAGTTAAGAAAGGTTTCTGGAAGAAAATGGGATTTCATTTAGGACTTAAAGATGACTCTGAGATGATGAACGTGTGTGTACATGCACATATATACATATATGTGTATACACATACATATATCTTTAAAAGAATAACATTTAAATAACAGGTTTGATCCAAAACATACCTACACACATCTATACATGTATGTGTGAAAATGGTATATCTGTGTACATATATATATATACATGTATCCACGTGTATCTGTGTCTGTACAGATGTATGTATATGTGTCTGAGACATAATTTCACACCTAAATCCTGCATGTTCTGATTTTGTCCCTATATAATGGCTGTGAAGGGGAAGAAGGTTACCTTATTTGTTTCCCTTTGCTTTCACTTAATTGTTGAATTCAAAACTACTGTATCTTCTGTTTTTTTAAATCAGTGTTTTATTCTCATTTTAGCTTGCCAACCAAGCAAGAATTCCTGCAGGTGTCTATAATGTGGTTCCCTGCTCTCGTGAGAAGACCAAGGAGGTCGGGGAAGCTCTTTGCACTGATCCATTGGTATCCAAAATTTCTTTTACTGGTTCGACAGCAACAGGAAAGGTAAGTGAAAGATTACTTTAAAGGGTCTTATGAAATGTAAAATATTATTTTGTAAAGGAGAGGTAGAAAGAGGGATGCCTCAGAGATGGGATTGGAAACCCCCACAATTCAGGCCAGGAAAATTTCTGTAATGCTTGGCCACCACACTAAGTTTTCAAACTCAGCAGACCACTAGTGTTCTCTGTCCTCCCACCGCAAAAATTCAAGCTGCTTTAATGGCCACCAGGCCAATCCACTAGCATAGATTAGCCTTACCCTGGGGGAAATAAATAAGAAGTTGATTTGTTTTAAGATGACCTAAAACGGGCAAGTGATAAGATAGAATCAAAGAAAAACTGAATCTGCTGATCAGGAAAGGCCTTCTGGAAAATAGAGGCCCTTTTGAAGGTGAAAAGCTTGAGCATCCTGGAGGTACAGGGACCAAACTAGAAATAAGCGTCTTGGCATTCCCAGGACCAATGCTTTTGGCCTAACAACACAGGATGAGTACTGCCTTAGCCTTCTAGTAGAGCATTAGGCCTTTCCCATCCATTTTTCTTCGCAGGGCATCTTTGCCACCTCTTAAATTCTGTGACTGCATAGTCAGAGACTGATCGTGGCCTCCATCTCAATGTGTGTTCATGGCTGGTTCTCCACTGTAACTGCAGATTCTGTTGCACTATGCTGCTGACTCCGTGAAGAGGGTCTCCATGGAGCTAGGGGGGCATGCCCCATTTATCGTGTTTGACAGTGCCAATGTGGACCAGGCGGTGGCAGGGGCCCTGGCTTCCAAATACAGAAATTCTGGTCAGGTGAGTCCTCTAGAATATTTCTAGAATTTGTGTTTGAAGGCCTTGTCCCTGCCTTGAATATGATTTTGAGTATCTGTTTATCAAACTTTTTTCCTCCTTCCATTTCTACCTCTTCCTTTGGTTCACTTCCCCCCTTGACATTTTTCCTTAGGTAAGCTCCCACTCTAATGTTAGTTGATAAATTCAGTATTAGCTTTATTACTGTTGGTTAAATCCACTCTTTTCCAGAGGGCTATCACCTCTCAAGCTATGGAGGAAGCGCTGAATGTTTGGACTAAAAAAAAAAATACTATTTTTTCAGTTCTCTGTATCCAGAGGCAGGATGGCATAATAGGTAGAGCATTGGCCTCAGATCCATGAAGACTTGGGATCAGGTCTTGTCTCTCACACATCCTGACCATGTAACCCCAGACAAGTCCCTCATAGGCAGAGGGGTTCTTAACCTGTTTCATGTCTTGAACTGATGATAATCTGGTTAAGCTTCTTCATGCCTTCTCCAAATAATGTTTTTCAATGCATAAATTAAAATACACAGGATTGCAGAAGGAAACCAATTATTTTGAAATGTAATTACCAAATATTTTTCAGAAACAAGTTCATGGACACTAGGTTAAGAGCCTGATATGAGGCGGTTTTTTAAGACCATGAATTGCACAGAACAATTCTGACTCACCTTGGTCTCTCCCTTTTCCTATTTCTTCATATACATATACACTTCATGTTCTTGCTTAGGACACTGCCTAACACATAGTAGATGCTTCTTATAAATGCTTCCTCACTATTCCCCTTCTCACCTCCTAGTATTTATTCTCAGCTCTCCTTGTTGTTTGTCAGGCAGCAAGCCAGCTCACTTTACTTACTTCTTGCATTTTAGTTTTCGGTTAATAGGTAAAAAGAAATTGGGGCTGAAAAAGATGTCATTTGTACCCCTTTTTTTATTTCCAGGTTAAAGAAAGAATGCAATGTCACCCAGGCCTCCAGATATTTTTTACTTGCAAGGCTAAAACTGGGTAGGAAATAAACTAGGCCTCCTATAATGACACCTCTAATAGATAATAGTCAGGGATTATTAACTTGGGCCAACCGCTTTGGACCCTTCTCATGTTTTATCCCTTTTGTATTTAGACATGTGTTTGCTCCAATCGTTTCTTGGTGCAAAGGGGAATCCATGATTCCTTTGTGAAGAAGTTTGCTGAAGCCATTAATAGAGAGCTGCGTGTAGGTCATGGATATGAGGAGAGAACCACGCAAGGCCCATTGATTAACGAAAAAGCAGTGGAAAAGGTAAGTGAATCAATTAAAGCTTAGTCTCTGTCTTCAATATTAACATGGTCAGCTTAGCTAGTAGATCTTTGTCAGTGCTCAAATCTACTGTGGGAGAATTCAGTCAACAAGCATTTATGTAGCTCTTAACTGTGTTTCAGGCACTATACTTAAATCCTGGAGAGACACAAATTTAAAAAAAAAAAAAAAGCTCATGCCTTCAAGGAGCTTGCCTTCTAAAGGGCAAGACAACATAAATATAAACAGGTGCATTCAATATGTCTAGGGCAGGTAGGTGGCTCAGTGGATAGGGTGTCAGGACTGGAGTCAGGAAGACTCAGCCTCAGACGCTTACTAGCTGTATGACCCTGGGCAAGTCACTTAACCCTGTTTTCCTCAATTTCCTTGTCTGTAAAATGAACTAGAGAAGGAAATGGCAAACTTCTCCAGTATCTTCGCCAAGAAAACCCCAAATGGGGTCATGAAGAGTCATTCAACAGGTAACCTTAGAGGGAAAGGCACAAAAAAGTGAAGAAAATCATGTAAAATCTGTAGCTTGAGATGAATCTTGAAGGAATCCAGGGATTAAAAAAAACAAACAAACAAGTGAAGAGGTAGAGCCTTCCAAGCAGGTCTTCAGTTCTGAGAAATCAGATAATAAAGTCAGCTTTCATTTCTTGAGTTAAACAGTATATTACCTGGAAGATTGATCGTGAGACTGGAAGTTAGGAAATCTTCTTTCTAACTCTTTCCCATAATTCCCCCAGAGACCCTGTAACCAGCTTCATTTCTGCACCTCCCTTTCTGCAGCTATAAAATGGAGATAATACCAGTCTCCAGTCCTCCCTCCCTCCAGGGCTTATGATGAAGAAATACTGTTTGTAAGGCTCATTAAACATGTTAGAGGGAAGGCGGGAAGACTTTTGAAAACAAGTTTGTGTGCTGGCTGAAACACTGGGTTTGGTCTCATATTTCTTCCTCTTATCACAAATTATTCTTTCAGCCCTCACTTTTAGTACTCTCTCCAAATAGTCATTGAATTCCCAAAACTTCCAGCAGGGGGAGATAGAATGCCAAGTGTTTAGGTCAGGATTTAGAGATGGAGGAGAAAACTGAGGTTGAGGGAGAGGAAATTCTTCTTGGCAATTTTTAAATTTAAATATCACACTTTAGGATGATCAAAACTGGGAAGGTTTTTTTCCTATACTTTCATTCCTGTTTATTAAACTCCTTTTAGAGTCACTCGAGGAATTTCCTTGCTAATCTAAGAATATAATATATTGCCTGGGTGGTCTGCTCTTATTGGTGTAGAGACTAGACCTGAGATTTCAGTGGTATAGGGAACTCCTGGATGAGTCACTGGGGACACAGATTAAATGACTTGCCTGGGTCACCCAGCCAACATGTGTCAGAAGTAGAGCTTAAACTCGGATCTGGGCTGCAAGACCATCTATCTGTCTACCATCTTTAAAATCAGGGAGAAAATTGTTACTCTCGTTATCATCAGTAGTTAGCCAGAAAAATCAGGATGTGGAATGTGAATACAAGAGAGAAAGAAAAACAGGAAGCAGTCATTTCAGCAGAGAGTAGGACGGGGGAAAAGCCTGTAGTTTGGGACTTATCCAAGGTGAAAAAAACGTAACAGCCCCAAAGTTGGCAGCCTTGCCGCACCAAAGTGGAAAATGCCAAATCATCGGAGTGTTTGGAGGTCTATTGAAAATACCAGGGAACAAGTTAGGGAGGGTTCTTTATTTTGTGCTCTTGCCAAGCTCTCACTGCCTAGCAACTGAGCTGATCACACCAAAATCACATTCATCTGTGTCCGTTGTGAAAACAAATTGAAACACAGCGATGTGGGAGAGCTCTTAGACTCTTTTAATTCTCATGAGACCTTGAAGCATTTTGCTTGCAAAAAGAAGTTTCTTAAACTGTGTGTGGGGGGAGGTGTGTGAAGGTGCTCTTTAGTTGGATGGTTTTCGATTGTCTAGCTCAGTGCCTTTGCTTTGGTCCCTTGGTGCAGGCTGAGAGGGATAACAGATGGAAAAGACCCTTTAGTTCCTTGTGCTTCTGCCCTGCCAGCTCACAGGGGGTAACCAAAGCTGCGCTCTTTCTTCTCTTTCCATTTAAGCCCTTGTTGTGACTATCAGAAACAAATAATTCTGTAGTTCTAGTCTCCAGCTCTCTCCTTTGGGAATCAAAGCATGCCATGTTCCTTGTCCCTACGCCATCTGACTAAAATTATCAGATGCAACCCCTGAAACAAGTCAAGCGACCTGAACCTTTAGAGAATGTAGTGCAGGGTAGTGGCTAGGACACGGCTTTGGCGTTCAGATCCTGTGCCGCCTCCCAGCTCATGTGACCAGGGACAAATCACTGAATTTTCCCTTGGCCCTTATTTCCTCAACTCTAAGATGGGGGTAATTAATATGGTAACATATAAGTTAATACATACTTATATAACATAAATAATTAGTTAATTAATATGGGTACTGTATTACCCATATAGGTATATTACCTTAGGAAGTTTTAAGGCTCAAATGCTGTCCTGTATGGGAAGTACTTCATTGTATATTAATTTCAGTTATTGTTGTTGTTATTATTAAATGATTTTGCTTCTTTTTTTGTCCTCAGAAGGTAGAGAAAGATAGAGGAAGAGTGTAGGACTGAAAATGGTCATCATAGCCTTAAGTAAAGTAAAGTCAAGTATCCCTGTACATTTATTTATTTATAATTTATGCCTAAATTAAAATTACACAGCAGATCTTTTTGACAAGTTATTGTGGCTTTAGGAGATGATTAGGTTGTGGGGAAATGGCCATCTTTTCCATTTGCAATTTTTCTCCCAAATTTGGCCATGGCCACAGCTATAGCAGGATACAGCATTTTTTTTTTTCTATGAGTAGAGCAAATACTCTGGCCTAATTCTCTCAAAATGAGGTCAGGCACATCTCGAAGTTCTGGACCTCTGAGAGGTCAAGTGCACTTTTCTCTAATGCTTCTATTTAGGGGTGTTCTCCCCACTGTTAGCCGTCATTGTCTAGCCCCTACATCCATTTAATCAATTAGTTTTTACAAAGGGATATTGATTTCAAAGATAAAGCAATATCATTAGTATAAACATTTCTCCTTAACAGTTGGGGAAACACCTCAGTCTCTGAAGAGAGTGGACTTAGAATTCATCTCTGCTGCAACTAGGTTAGGTCCTGAAGGTCGATTCTCATTCCCCTGGGCCTCAGAGCTAGACCAGAGGCTGCAGAACTTAGTACAGACTCCAATCCCAGGTCTGCTGGTGACTCACTCTCCTGATATCTCACAGCATCTCTAATTTCCTTCACCTAAAATGAAAAAAACAAAACTCTGAGGCAAAGAACCATGGCCTGTATTCACAGGCCACACATCAGCCTCAAGTGGTGGGAGAGGGAGTACAGTAAAACCTCTACCTTCTACCCTTACATACAGCATTGTCTCTCACTAGAATGCTGATAGGCTAGAAGTTAAACCAAGAGAAGAGAAATGAGGTTGAGTGCCTTTTGAAGGCTCCGCAGTTCCAATCCAAGAGGCTCTCATTCACCACGTGCTTAGTGACCTATACCAGTTATAGAACTTGTATAGAGCCTGTGCTCCAGATGCTTCCATTCCAAGGCATGCATCGTTATGACTCTCCCAAAAGCAGATTCTCCAGCCTTTTCCACTTGAGAAATTGCATCATTGATACTCTGTACATGATCATAAGGACTGGGTTCATTGGCCAGTTCCTAGTTACATGACATTTAGCTTGGGCAAGATCAACATTTAGATGAACTCTGCAGAGATTCTTCTCAATTATACTCCCTTTAACATTTCTGCCCGAACGAGTTTTTAGTGATAGAGCAAAAGAATTTATTCACACTTGCATGGGGTATATCCTGAAGTTACCAGACTGTTAGCAGAATCATTGATCTTTTGCACCCTACCAAGGTAGGACAACATGTACTCATACATACTCAGTCTCCGACTAAAAATGATAACATTTGCAGAGTCTAAGTAAGATACCTAAGTTTTCCTGACTTTGGGGGTGTTAATACTGGCCATATGCCTATCTCTTTTTATTCTAAAACTTTGAGTTCATAAAGAGAGGTAAAGAAATTAAGTAATATTGCCTCTTTGTGACAGGGAAGGATCTGGTGTTGGATAGGGGACAGGGACTGTGGATAGGACTGGACCTGTGATCTTATTGGTTATAGTGAACTCCCAAGTGATGAAATTCCTTCTACTAACATAGGTAGGCACTTTTCCTGCAACCTATAGTTTTAGAGAGCTGCCTAAAATGATGAAACATTAAATAACTTGCCCAGGGTCATATAGCCAGTATGTAACAGGTAGAATTTGAACCCAGATCTCTGTAGCTTTGAGGCCAGCTCAATCTACTATACCACAGTACCTCTCCTGATGCTAGAAAAAGGAATCAAATAATCAGGAACAGACTGGAGGTTTTGAACAGCTTCATTCTAATTTCCATCTCTTTTCCATCCAGTCTTTGTACTTTGACCCACATTTTGCATTTTGGTAAGAATTTTTCAACATGTCTCAACAGCTCAGTGTAGGAGAGTTGTAGCTAGATAGGGTGGTTTTTCACCTGTTCTTTCTCCACTGAGTTGAACTTGCCAGAAGTACCTTCATTCCCTGGGTATTAAGTAGTAATACTACTTTGAGGAAGGGACAAGACAAAAGCTCCGTTTGCCAGGGCTGTTATTATCATTAGTATGTAGTTTTAAGGGCTGTGAGTTTCAGCAAAACCAAAACAATATAATGATCCTTTGCCTAAAGGGCATGTTTTCTAACTTGTTGGGTCACATTATGTAAGATACTGTGCCATTCATATCTGTAATGATGGTTTAATCTAAAACATAATCATGCTGATAATATGGAATGCATTTCTGATCTCTTTTTGTTGGTTTTTGTTTAGGGAAAAGAAAAGAAAAGAAAAGAAAGCACACCACAGAAGTCTGGTCCAGGGCTGGGCAAACTACCATCCTTATCCCCAAATCCCCACTACTAGTGGTCCACAAGCTACGAATGATCTTTACATTTTAAAATAATGTTTTATTTGTATTTTAAAATGTAAAAGCCATTCTTAGTTCACAAGTGGGCCTTATAAAAATAGGCACCTCTGGTCCTTGGGATGTGGTTTGCCAGCTGCAGTTTTGGAAACTGAGGCTTTGTGAAGTCAAATGACTTTTGCCCTGTGTCCCATGGCTAGTTAGTAGTAGATTTGGATCTCAGTTATTTTAAATGAATTTTCTCTTTCTGTCTCTTGCTGCCAGGTTCTATTAGTAATATATAGAAATGCTGATGATTTATGTGGGTTTATTTTATATCTTGCAATTTTGCTGAAGTTGTTAATTATTTCAGCTAGTTTTTTAGTTGATTCTCTAGGATTCTTTAAGTATACCATTATATCACTGGCAAAGAGTGAGTTTTATTTCTTCGTTGCCTTTTCTAATTTCTTCAATTTCTTTTTCTCTTATTGCCATAGCTAACATTTTAAGTACAATATTGGATAATAGTGATGGTAATGGGCATCCTTGATTCACCCCTGAGCTTATTGGGAAGGCTTCTAGCTTATCCCCATTACAGATGCTTGGTGATGGGTTCAGATGGATAACTACTTATTTTCAGGAAAGCTCCATTTATTCCAGTGTTTTTAATGAGAATGGATATTACATTTTTATCAAAAGCTTTTTCTGGATCTATAAAGGTAATCATAGGATTTTTGTTATTTCAGTTGTTGATATGGTCAGTTATGCTGATAGTTTTCCTAACATTGAGCCATCCCTGCAGTCCTGGTAGAAATCCCACCTGCTCAGTAGACCTGGATCTCAAAGCTTAGTGTCATGACCAGTGATAATTCCACTAAACCTCACTGCGTCAGTGGTCCTAAGTTCCCATGTTCAGAGAAATACTACTTTTTGCTGAGAAGACAAGTCTACCTTAAGAAGGAAGAGAACTTTCCTCAAGGGAACAGGGCAAGATGAAATCCTTTCCCTCCCTTCCCCCAATTTTATCAGTTTCCTCTAAAACAGAAGAGCACTAGCTGCTGTCAGACTGGGACTACTTGGCAGGATCATGTGCTCCTGCAGAAAGCTTGACAATATCTCAGGAAGTGAACTCTATTTTAGGATTCATCAGTGTAAGCAGAAAAGCTGATTGGGACTTAATGCTGTTGAATTGGAGAATTAAGGCTCCATAGAGAAAAGCAGAAGAGAAAAAAACCTTCAAGTAAAAGGAAGTGATCTTTCCCTCTATCTCCCTCCTCTTTGATGACCCTTTCTCAATTTCTCTCACCCTCTCTCTTCTCAACTTTTCTCCTTTTTCTTGTTTTCTCTCCCCCCCCATTTAAAAATGTTCTTTCCTTCTTGCATTCTTTTATCTTTTTCTTTACTTCTTAACCTCTTCCCTCTTTTATTTTCTCTCCTCTATGTCCTCTCTCCCCTCCAGGCTTTGCCCCTTTTTGCCTGTCTCACTTTCTCCTCTCCTCTATTCCCCCTTGTTCCTTCTTTCTTCTCTGCCTCCTTCAGGGAGGCTTATGATGCTTTGGATCAAGTTGTTTATGAGATCACAGCATGCTGTGTGCGTCCTGTAACCCCTGTCCTTTGGCTGCAGGTTGTCTTATTCTGCTCTTCATTGGGAATCAAAATTGTGCTTGCTTACTGACGTCTCTGAAAATCCAAAAATCCTGTCTTTTCTCTAGTATTGTCAAGATTTAAAAAACAAAACAAAACAAAAAAAACAGCAAACACAGATCTGATGCAGGCTTGAGATAATAAGTTGTGGTTTTTTGCTCTTGTTTTTTAACGGTTTAACGTCACCATCTTCGCAAACTCACCAAATAAGAAAACAAAGGAAATGATGATTAAAAGATTAAAAGCTATAGCCCCTCTGGTCATGATTTCAAGTGAACTCACATCTGAATAAAGCTCTTTAATGCCTGGGGAGGCATGCCAGAGTACAGCACTAGCTTGAGGAAGTAGTTTCTGGTGAGGGCAAAGCTGGTTTTGTTTTTTTCCTTTGTATCACAAATGCCTAAAACAGGGCCTGACATTTAGTAACTGCTTAATAAATGCTTGTTGATTGATTGATGGATGGAATCATAACTCTTCCCTCCTCCACCCCTACCACATCCTCCCAGCAACACCCTGTAGTGGTTAGACCAAAGCATTCTGACCCCAGTGGGCTAGACTATGGTTCATCACCCCCCCCCCCACTCCCACCCCACCCATGACAGCCCAGGACTGTGAAAGATGTCCAAGACATCCCTCTCAATTTGAGCTTTGAGGTAATGGACATGATCCATACCTCTCATTTGGTTGCTTGTGATTTCACTCCACCCAAGAACACATACATTCTGAGGCTGAAGGCTTGGACCATGACAACTGGACCAGAATGGCATTTGTTCAGTAAGGAGGCAGTTCTGACTAGGTGGCACAAATCCAACCCAGAAGAAAATGCAGGCTCCATTTTGCCAGCACTGCCTACTCTTCACATTGGCATTCCCCACATCCTTTGATACTGCCAAAGCTGGATTAGAGTCTACAAAACCATCCCCATCCCCTGAGAGTTCCTTCCCTACCCCCCCACCACACCTAATTAAATGCTTTATATATAAGGAGTTATTTATTAATATGTTTATGAATCTAATTTAGTGGTCATTCCTTAGATTGACCACAGTCTGGAGGGCAGCAGGTCAATGGCTTTGTATTAGGAACATTTCGTGTTCTTCAGATGGTTCTGAAACTCACCAGAAATTTCTGGGGCATGGGCCAGGAGGGCCTCTTAAACCAGTTTTGTTGGACTATGCTGGACTAACCTCTGCTGAATGCTTTGAGGCCCAAAGATAAAAGGCTGCATCTGTCTGTTTTTTAGGGGCTGCCATTTGCTAGGCCCTCAAACGTGTGTTTACAGTGTCCTTTTATGACAGAAGGGCATTTTGTAGAAAACACTATGTCTTAAAACTAGCTTTCAATATAATACCACATTTAAAGTGACTAGTAGTATGGAAATGCCCCGACCTGCTTTATTTTCTCTGCTCTTTAAAATAACATTATCTCAGTGTCTTTATACACACTAAAGCATTCTCAACTGGCTTCTCCAAACCTTATTTTCTCTGTTTCATGCAGGTAGAGAAACATGTGAGAGATGCAGTTTCCAAAGGAGCCACCATTGTGACAGGAGGGAAAAGGCACAGCTCTGGGAAAAACTTTTTTGAGCCAACCCTCCTTAGCAACGTCACCCCAGACATGCTGTGCTCTCAGGAAGAAACTTTTGGCCCCCTGGCACCAGTTATTAAGTAAGAGCAGTGCTATTTTAAAGTAGACAAGAGAGACCAAGGAAAGTTTCTGGAGGGTGGGCTATCAGAGGTGGAGAGGGAGCAATCACATTCCCCTCACCAGGAATGAGGTGGGACAATGCAAAGAAATGTAAAAGGCCTTGGTTTTTTAATTAAAAGTAGACTTGGAGCTGTTTTAAGTGCACTCTGTTTTTAACAAAAAGCAAAAAAAAAAAAATACATGGAGGTAGCTGAGGGATTTGAGCTGTGAAAAGTATTAATCATTGTGATGAAAACTTGGGCCACCAGTATTCATAATTTTGGTTCAGTCTTCCTGGGGGAAAAAGAAAAGAAAATAGAGGATTATCAAACAGATTAGCATAGGCAGAGTTTTTTCTTATTTTTCTTTTTTTTTAATATCTTTTGTTTTGGCTTGACTTCTGAATATATCCCTCTCCACTCCCCTGCCAGCTATCCCTTGTAACAAAGAAAACAAAAAACTTCCTTTTTAGGAAATTCAGCAAAACTAACACACACCAAGCCTGGCAATATGTGCATATGAACTACATTCATAGTTTCCCACCTCTGCAAAGAGAGGGAAGGAGGGAAAGGAAAAGAGAGAGGAAGAGAGAGAGAGAAGGGTGCATTTTCTCATCACTTTTTCAAAGCCAAGAGTGGTCATTATATTTACACGGAGTTCAGTCTGGGTTGTTGTGGTGGTGGTAGTGGTTGTTGTTAATTCTTTTGTTTTATATTGTTGAAATCATCGTGTATGTTGTCTTCCTGGTTCCGCTTATTTTTGTCTTCATCTTTTTATGGCAGACGATACCATATTACCACAACAATAAATACCATACAGGTAATAAATGCCATGTAACAATACCATAGCTGGTGGATTGATCATAAGTGACTTTCCTAAGAGAGGACAGGTGAAACAAGCACGTGAGTGAAAGGGCTCACAATAGTGGTGATGGAGATGAGTGTAGAAGAAAGACAGCAAAGAGCACACGAGGCAGAAAGACGATGCTGAAAGAGCACGGGTGAAGACTCAGAGGATCTTGGTTCAATTCCTGACCTGTCCGAAGTCACCACCTCTCTGGGCCGTATAGTTTCCTAGTGTGTAAAATGAAAGCATTAGTCTGGACTTGTGCAGTGTCTTCTAGTTCTAAATCTACGAGCCAGAGAGCTCTCTTCAGATATTTGAAAGGGTATCAGAGAAGATGGATTAAATTTGTGAAGGAAAGAAGGAAGGAATATGGGAAGGAAGAAAGGAAGGAATGCAAGAAAGGAAGGAAGGAAGGAAATATTAATGCTCACTATGTGCCTGGCACTGTTCTATGCCCATTACAAATATTAGGTAGGAAGTTCCCCATCACTAGGGTTCTTCAGGTCAGAGTTGGATGCCCACTTGTCAGGATGTTGTAGTAGGAATTCTTGTCTGGGTATGGATTAGAAAAGATGTCCTCTAAGGTGCTTTCCAATTCTGAGACAATATGATCCTGTGAGCATTGTCAGGGGCGCTACAGGAAGTACAGGGTACTTCTCTACCAGTCACCCCCTCTTTCAGATAAACTGCTTATCTTCCTGTGATATGCGGTATTGTCAGGTAGATTGGCAGAAATGCTCATCTCTGTTCAGTAGGTTGACTTTGAGGCTTCTTGTTCCAGCCTAATTGGAGTTAACACATATTTGTAAACTGAAAAGAAGAATAATCTGCTCACTTTGCTTCTCTGTAATTATTTTCAATTTAGTTTCTAATATATACTGTAGTATTTCCTTGAGTAGTACAAAGAGCCCTGGAATTGGGAGTAGGAAGACCTGGGCTCAAATTATGACTCTGCTAATTACCACTTGTATGAGCTTGAGCAAATCATTTCCCTACTCTGGGTCACAGTTTCCTCATTTGTACAAAGACAAGATTCATCTCCAAGGTCAATTCCAACTCTAAATCCTGTAATCTTCCTATCCTATTGGAGAAAAACCTTCAATTTAAAATACAGTCACCCCACCACAAATAATTAAATCTTTCCTTCAGAACTGAGAAGCCTTGCTGCCATATGCCTACCTTGCAAAATGTTCAAAATTTGGGAAGTAAGGGGAAGAAGAAAGGGATAATTTTATTCACCTATTTTGCCTATGTCCTTTTTATACCAAAAAAAATTTTTTTGGCAGATTTGATACAGAGGAAGAAGCCCTTGCTATTGCCAATGCAGTGGATGTGGGTTTAGCAGGTAAGTTTGGAAGTCATTTTTATTTGTTTGTTTTTGATTGGTTCACAGTTGGTGGTAATATATTCAAGCTAGTGTTCCTTGAGCATCCAGTTCATCATTTCCCCTGATCTTTATATTGGTCTTTCAGCTTGATTCTGATTTATCATCAATAGCCCCCCTGGTTTTTTGTTATGTTTTTCAGCAGGGGTGATGGATTTGTGCTTCAGAATCCCCTCTTCTTGTTCTCCTTGTTACACGTGTCTGGATTGCCCTGACAAGGGTTAGAGGTGCAGTGAACTAAAGTTAACTAACCCGGATAGATATCAGACCTGCCCTTGTAACCTCCTTCCCACTCCAAACAGCAGAGGCACAGGTCCTATTTAGATACCAAGTGTTTCTTCTTCCAATTTACTGACTGGAGGCTTTTTTTTTTTTTAATCTTTTTCATTTACCTTAGTACAGTAAGACTCTAATTTCATCAGTATGGGTACTACCTTCACTGAGGCAGATTGTAACCCCTGGAGGACATCAGTGTGAACCTCCATGCAAAAGTGTGTGTGTGTGTGTGTGTGTGTGTGTGTGTGTGTGTAAGTGTATGTAAAATATAATTTTACATACTGAAGTTTTTAAAACTATATCATATAAAAATCATTGAAGCCACTGCTTTGGAAGGATTTCCCATTCCCTCTGGCGCCTATTAAATTAGAAATATAGCTTAGAAATGTTTTGGAAATGAACTGCACACAGCTTTTCTACTTGTCTGACATTGGCCAAGGGAGGCAGAGAGTAGGAAAATATCTGCTGGCATTTGCCAAGGTAAGTAGCCACCCTGTGTTTCTAACCTCATTAAAGACATATGTGAGTGTGTGAATGAATGAAGGAGTAATTTCAGTGATTGAGTGAATATATATCTACTGCGTACTGTGTGTGCAGCACTGTGGGAGAATAAAGAGAAGTGAGCTAATCCTTTCTCTTTAGGAATGCACCTAGTAGGTTTGTTGTACACCCAGTAGTACATAAGCTATAGAGATGAGGACTAAACCTGTGATTTCATTGTCCTAAATGGGGAGACTTCCTGTACCAATGCAGGTTGGCACCTTCTTTGAAACTTAGTCTGAGAGTTGCCTACAGGCTAGGTGACTTGCCTGGGGTCACACAGCCACGTTGCCTATACCTAATGGCCATCATAAGTAGACAGGTAATTACAGTAAAAGACATGACATTTAAATGTGTGTTGTAAGTGGTACAGACAATAAGCCCAGTGGAGTTCAGGGGGAACGAGAAATCACTGACCTGAGATGATTAAGAGGGCTTTATGGTGAAGGTGGCAGGCATTTGAAGCAAGGCAGGACCTTGAAGGAAGCAGTCAGTGGGGGTGAAGACAGGCATTCTCTTTGGGAGGAATTGTATAACAAAGGCATGAGGAAGGAAAACACAAAATGTATTAAGGGAGCCTTTATTAGAACAGCTTGACTAGAGTGGAAGGTTTATATGAGGAAGTATAGTAGGAAATAAAACTGGAAAGCTTAGCTCAATGCCTGGCACATAGTGGCCATTTAATAAAGATTGATTGAAAGAGAAGTTCTACATTGTACACAGTAACGGCAACATTGTGCAATGACTGACTTTGTTAGACTTAGGTCTTCTCAGCAATGCAATGATCTGAGACAAGCCTCGTAAAAGGATTTGTTCTGTGAAGTTTGGATTTAGTCAAAAGACTGCACTTGAGGACCTAGAGGGCCACATGTGGCCTCGAGGCTGCAGGTTCCCCGCCCCTGATCTAAGTAACAAGTCCAGAAAACTGATGATGGAAATTGCTATCCACATCCAGAGAAAGAACTATGGAGTCTGAATGCAAATCGAAGCATACTATTTTCCCTTTTTTTTGTTTTTTCTTTCTCGTGGTTTTTCCCTTTTGTTCTGATTCTTTTTTCACAACATGACCAATGTGGAAGTATGTTTAATATGATTATACATGTACAACCTGTATCCAATTGCATGCTGTCTTGGGGAGGGCGAAGGGAGGGATGGGGAAAAATTTAGAGCTCAAAGTCTTATAAAAGTGAATGTTGAAAACTGAAAGTCAATCAATTAAATTTTTAAAAAAGAAAGAGAAGTTCTAAGCAGTTTGTAGAAGGTTGTGAATGTCAGTCAAAGGAGTTTGGCCATAAATATCTGTGGAAAATTTGGGAGTGGGCAGATTACCTGATCAAAGCATTGCTTTAGGAAGATGAGTCTGTTTATTGGGATGGAGGCAAGGGAGAAAGGCCTGGGGTCAGTAAGACTTCTTTGGCGGCTGTTGCAAAACAGTGGTCTAAGACTCAGCTAGAATGGGGACAATAGAATAGAAAGAATATCAGTAATAGATGACATTTATCTAGTGCTTTAAACTTTGCAAAGCACTTGACATAGCCACAACAACCTCGTGAGGGTGCTATAATTATCATCCCTGTTTTACAGAAGAGGAAGCAGGCATGGAGATGACATGACTTGCCCAGGTTCATACACAGCTACTAAGTCTAAGACAGGATTTAAACTCAGTATCTTCCTGATTGCAGGCCAAGCACTCTATCCACCATGCCGTCTTAGTTACCTGAGATGACACAAAGGAAGAGTTGACCAGAATTGGTGACAGGCTGGGTGGGTGTAGGGGTGGGGAACAAGGAAAGAGGAGGATTCCTAGGTTTCAAGCCTTAGTGACTAAAGGAATGATGAGACCAGTGGCAGATGGAGGACAACTAGTTCAGGGCAAAGATAATGAGTGACCTTGGTTTTAAATATAATCTTCTAATATATCAATATCTTGTCCCTATGGCAGGTTATTTTTACTCTCAGGATCCAGCCCAGATCTGGAGGGTGGCTGAGCAGCTAGAAGTTGGCATGGTTGGAGTTAACGAGGGACTGTTGTCCACAGTAGAATGCCCTTTTGGTGGGGTGAAGCAGTCTGGTCTTGGACGAGAAGGTTCAAAGTATGGTATTGATGAATATCTGGAACTGAAGTATGTGTGTTATGGTGGCTTATAGGAATCACCAGGTGTTCTGTAGCTTAGGGGGAAAAAATCCCTCTACAGATGTTAGAGAAGTGCCATCTAATATGTTTTTAATAAACCTTTGGAGTCCTTATAAATGACCTATAAATGTGAATTTAAAAAAAAAACCTCATCCAGTCCCACATCATCTTGTGTGTTAGCTGATAGCGCTCCTCAGATGCTTGACTGGAACAAAAAATGAAACCTGTAAGTGTCCTTCCTGCTTGTAGTGTATGCTGAGGTTGAGTTTCAGGTAGTGATTTCCAGCCTTCACGGTGCTGCCACCTGCTACTGAGAATGCAACAAGAAGGTCCCTCGTGCTGTGGTTAGGAGTGGGTGGTTAGTACTGGGAGCACCAAAATAACCATATCATAAGCCCATTTCACCTCTGACAAGGCTCCATAGCATGGCAGGCCTGGGTGTGCAGAGGAAATGCCTTCTTGCACATTCTCACTGCCTAGGCATTGCAATTGAGGTGCAATCTGGTCTATTTTTAAAAACAGTTTGAAATAGTACAGGGTGTCTGTGTTTCTTTGTGGACAGAAGGAACATTTCCTCTCTTTTTCTGTCTCTGGCTCACTTCTTAAAATTGAAGTCTACAATTTGTGTTTACTGAAAGGGAAAAAAAATTGTGTAGGCTGTTTCACTTCTTTTCCTTATTTAAGAAGTAAGCAGGGGACTGAAGCTGAGATCTATGAGTTTGGAGAAGGAGCTCCAGACTGGATGTCAGGATACCTAGTCTTAAGTATCTAAATTGTGCAGTTTTGGCAAACCATCATGTCTCTAGCCTTTGGTCATCTCATCTGCAAAATGGTTATACATGCCTCTTCCTAATTCATGAGGATTAAAACTGTGCCCAGGTCTTCATAGAAAGAAGGTGTCTCTTTTGGAAAAATGAGAGTGCCATGTAAGTACAAGCTGTCATTATCATAGCTTGTAGCCCTTTGCAGTTTGCAAATGACTTTCTGGGCAAGGAACTAGAGGTAGGTGCCACCATATTATTATCTTCATTTTACAGATGAGGAAACTGAGGCTTAAAGCAGCTTATACATGATTATATTGCTAATAAGTAGTGAAGGTAGATTCTCTAACATATGGCCCAATGTTCATCCCACTACTCTAGGCTGCTTTTCTACTGTTTTGATCCTATTTTCATTATGATTATTACTGTTAACATCAGTGTCCCCAATCAGCTCTACTCTTGGCACTTAGATGTACAGTGGGGTGCACTCACAGGAGCACCTTAATACAGGATACTCTGTGTTAGTGACATTCTGGCTGGCCCCACTCCATGTACAAGAGGACTGCCTTAAGTTTAGTCCTGTGGGAGACCAAGTGGTGTTCACCTATGGCAGTAGTATGAAATTCAAATAGAAACAGGAAGCCACTAAATCATACAAAACCACATATGATCATTGCCTATGTTCCATTGTATTTGTTTTGTTAATTTGTTAATTTTTAAAATTAATTTAATTTGTTAATTTTTAAAATTAATTTAATTTGTTAATTTTGTTCATTTGTTGTGTTACTTCTCTATTACATTTTAATCTGGTTTGGGTAAGTGGCCTGCAGGCCAGGTGTTTGACACCTCTGAGCTACAGCCTTTTCTCCCAGTCCTACTTTAGAGGGGATTGTTTCTCTCTCCTCAAAAACAGAAACTCATATTAAACTTGAAAAAAAGAGAAATAGATTGGTGGAGTGAGAAGAGCACTGGATATGGAGTCAGGATCTGAATTTAAGTCTTGGCTCTGCTGCTTTGTGAGCTTAAGTAAATTACTTCACATCTGTGAGTTTTGTCATCAGCAGAATGTTAGGATTGGACTAGAATAATTCTAGTCCATCATCTAGCCACTAAATGAATCCTAAAGGTCCTTGTCAATTCTAAATCCTAAGAACTGTGAACCTCTGCAAGTTTTCCATAATTGAGCTTGGTGCTGTGAAGAATGAATAACTGAGGCTTTTATACCTCATCACACGTCTGGTTGTTGAATTAATTGAAAATTTCAGTGACCTTTGCATTACCTAATATATAAATGGTCATCAGATTGCATTGAATTAAGAACATGTCTTATTTCTTGATGATACCTATGGTGCAGACTTATTTCTCTTTCTTATCCGTTCTTGCAAACTGATACTTTGGGGAATGTTCTGTAACACTAAGATTGGCCATCCCTCACTAAATAAAGAATGATAAAGTGTTTGATTTCTGAACTAACTCTCCACTCTTCTCTTCTTATACTCTCTTGCACAAATTCCCCAAGGCATCAAAGGGGAACGCTGGGTATAGAAGAGAGATAGGAATGAAGTGGAAATTAAGTACATATCTCTTAAGGGGAGCTGTGCCTAAATAATCCTCAGTCTGTTATACAATTGTATTTCTGAGCTCCATCTAATACTTAGCCCCTTATCCTTTCTCCTTGGTCCTCACTCCAAGGTGGGAATTAAAATTATCTTTATTGGGCATCAGAAAGTTCAGAAAAATCTTTGTATTTGTGTTAGCATCAGCTGTCCTTGAAACTGTTTTGTGTTTCACCCCATACCCTAACCGTACAGATTATATTCCTAGGTTAAAAGAAAAAAAATCATATTTAACTTCAGAATGACATGCTGAGAACTTCTGCTACTAGTATCATATAGACAGTTCAGCGCTTCTTAAACTTCTTAAGCCCCATGTGGGGTCACGACCCACAGTTTAAGAAGCGATGAAGGGGTTGTGAGTGGGAAAAGTTTAAGGAGCCCCCCATAAAGTGATGTATACCCAAATTGTTGATGACTATTCCATTTTAACATTTTTGGATGATCACATGTGAACTTCTCAAGGCCATTGTTGCCACTATAGAAAACACAACAAAATGAAAAATATTCTTTCATTTTTTTAAAAATCTAGAATCAGAGCAGCTAGGTGGTAGAGTAGATAGAGCACTGGCTCTGGATTCAGGAGGACCTGAGTTCAAATCCAGCCTCAGACACAACACTTACTAGCTGTGTAACTTGCCCCTGGGTAAGTCACTTAACCCCATTGCCTAACCAAAAAAAAAAATCTAGAATCTTGGGGTTTGAAGAGCTTAGTATTATTGAACTTTTAAATGCCTAGGTAATTTTATCATACAATGAACTCCTTAAGGTTTAATAAAGTATATAAATTGAGACCACAGCCCCCATCATTGTATCACTGATTAAATCTTACATGTGTTAATGAGAGAAAAAGATAACTATTTCTTCATTAAGATGGTATTAGGGGACATGTTGATTTGTTTCATTTGTTTGTACTTATTACAAGAGAGGGAGTGGAGGGTGACAGTAGAAAAAGAAAAAAGCATCAATAAAATATTTAAATAGGGAAAAAGATAGTATGGCAAGGTAGGAGAGAGGAGGATTTGTTTTCAGTGAACAATTTTTTATCCTTCTAAGCCTGATGACTTGTCTGGTAGATGAATCATTGTTTAAGCTCTTTTCCATCATTATACAGAAGTTCAACATCCAGACTTAGAAGATGTTTTTTCCTTACTCATTTACCAAGTAATGATCAATCCCAGATTTAGAGTCTTCACTACGTGTAGGCAACATCGTGCTAGGCTACAGTGCAGTGAACGTTTGCCTGGGAGGTTTCCCACCATTGCCACATACCCAAAATGAAATTACCTAGAGATCAGGTCCATTGCCCTGAAGAAATGTTCCTCCATTTGCTCCTAGCTATGTACTACAGAGTCAGTTTGTTGCTGATATTTTGGTCAGATTGGGCAAGTTTTTAAAGTGTGATTTATATCTTGGTTTTTTTGAAAGATGTTTTTAGGCAAAAGTTCGTTTTGTTTTGTTTTTTTAAGTTTATTTTGGTGGAAACAGCCAAGGGAGAATAAAGTTCAGAAGCACAATGTAGTTCAGTCTGTTGTTCTGCTCTTGTTTTAAAACTTGCCAAATGATCTCTCTCTATAAAGGTGGGTCCCAGTGTTTTAATAATTTGCATGCAGCTAATTTTTAGATTATTCCCTGAAGATTTTTCCTAGAGTGATTTTTAATGTTAAACTTTGTGAAAAAAATTGAAAGCAAGTATGTAATAGGAAATGTCCTTCAATCTTACTTTTGACTGTGTATACACAAGCTCATCTATATGAATTCTCATTTTTGTTCTCAGTGTGTGTATGTGGCTTTATCAGTGTCTACTTTCCAGAGAATTGGATTTGTGTGTGCAGTTAATAAACATTCAATTTTAACAATAGTATTTCCCATTTCTGTGCTGGGACTGGTTTCTGTTTGTTTCTTCAGTCAGATTATCTTTTTTTTTTTCCCATTTTTGTTTTTCATTAGGGACTAATTCTAATGTATGTCATTACCTTTTGGGATTCGGAGATTGACTTGCCAAATGTCAGAGTTGATGAGTGATCTCCCCAAGTTCCCTTTCACCTTCCTGTTATTTAGTCAGTCTCTTGTAGTAGAAAGGGGCATGTGTATATCTTGACACTTGGCCTTTTTCAGCCCCAGTAACCTTTTCTAAATGAATTTTTGGTGATATCTTTTTTTAAAAAATTTAATATTTTATTTTTCCCCAGTTACATGTAAAAACAATTTTTAACATTTGTTTCAAATTCTTTCCCTCCCCATCCCATCCCCATTGAGAAGGCAAGCAATTTTATATAGGTTATACATGTGTAGTCATGCAAAACATATCCATACTAGTCATGTTGTGAAAGAAAACAGACCAAAAAAACCTCAGGAAAAATAAGGCAAGTAAAAAAGTTATGCTTCAATCTGCATTCAGACACCATCAGTTCTTTCTCTGGGGATGGATAGCATTTTTAATTATAATTGCTTCAGAGTTGTCCTGGATCGTTGTATTGCTGAGAATACTTAAGTCATTCACAGCTGATCATTCACCATATTGCTGTTACTTTGTACACAGTACATTTCACTTTGCATCAGCCCATGCAAGTCTTTTCAGGTTTTTCTGAGACCGTTCTGTTCATCATTTCTTATACTTCAATAGTATTTCATCATAATCACATACTACAACTTGCTCAGCCATTCCCCAGTTGATGGGCATCGCCTCAATTTATAATTCTTTACCCCCAGAAAAGAGGTGCTATAAATATATTTGTACATATAAGTCCTTTCCCTTTTTATCTCTTTTGGGATACAGACCTAGTAGTGATATTGCTGGATCAAAGGGTATATATGGTTTTATAGCCCTTTGGGCATAGTTCCAAATTGCTGTACAAAATGGTTGAATCTGTTCACAACTCCACCAACAGTGCATCAATGTCTCATTTTTCCCACATCTCCTCCACCATTTGTCATTTTCCTTTTCTGTCCTATTAGCCAATCTAACAGATATGAAATAGTATCTCAGAGTTGGTTTAATTTGCATTTCTTCAATCAATAGTGAGAGTATTTTTTTCATGTGGCTGTATAAAATTTTCTCTAGTCTTTCTCTTCTCCCCCTCTCAGAAAGCCATACATATAACAAACAATATTTGTATAGAAAAAGAAGAGGAAAAAATGCTCAGAGGTGATCAGTACTTCTAAAAAAAAATCTGAAAATATGAATGGCACTTTTGTGGACCTCCTGCTTCTACAAAGGCTTGAGATGGAGGTGTGTTCTCTTCTTTAGAGCCATGTTGTTCTTTGTAATTTTTCAACATTTACTTTTGATTGTTTTGCAGTGGTTCTTTCGATTTACTGTGTGGTAGTCATTGTGTATATTGTTTTCTTGACTTTGCTTATTTCACTCTGCATCAGTTGGTATAAATCTTGCCATGATTCTCTGTATTTATCATATTCATCAAATATCTCATTTGACCCTCACAACAACCCTGAAAAGTTGGTGCTCTTATTATCTCCATTCTATATTTGAGAAAACTGAGGCCAACAGAGGTTAAGTTACTTGCCCAGGGTTACACAACTAGTAAATGTCTGAGGCCATATTTGAACTTGGGTCTTCCTGATTCAGGCCCAGCACTCTATCCACTGCGCCACCTAGAGGCCTCTGGTGAATATTACACCTGTTACTATTGTCTGATACTATCTCTAGAGAACTACCGTACTGGTTTGAGCAGACATTTTCCTTCCAAAATGAGACCCTAAGTGAGGCCTATGATTACACTTTTAGTATGATAGCCACTTTAAGCATTCCTGGCCAGCCCAGAAGGAGTAGTTGTAGTCACTCTTCCTGACTTCAGGCCCAGTATAGTTTTAGTTTACTACTACTACAACTACTGCTACCACCACACTGGGCTTGAAGTCAGGAAGCCTGACTACGATGACTACGTGGCCGTAGTCAGACTTCCTGACTTCAGGCCCAGTGTAGTAGTAGTAGGTAGTAGTAGTTGTAGTAGTAGTAGGAGTAGGAGTAGGAGTAATAGGAGTAGTAGGAGGAGGAGGAGGAGGAGTAGTAGTATACTACAACTACACTGGGCCTGAAGTCCGAAAGACTGACTACGATGACTACATGGCCATAGTCAGACTTCCGGACTCCAGGCCCGGTGCTATATCCACT